CTCTCCCCCACGTCCCCCTTCTCCCCCCCTTCTCTGTGCTTTACTTTGATTTTACATTTGGCCAGGGTGAGAAAAAAAAAAAAAAAGGAACAAAGCGGGGATGAAGGTCAGAGCGGCCTGTATCGTTGTGCATTATGAAATATGTAACTGTATAATTTTTTTAATTTTTTTTTTAATTTTTATTATTGTTGTTGTTGTTGTTGTTGTTATAATTATTGGATTTATGTTCCAGAAAGGATGTACATAGAGGCTGACGTTTTTAAGTGTACCGCAGTACTCCACTATTTGTACTTGCTGCAGTGTGTGTATGTATATGTGTGTATGTGAGAGATGGTGTGTGTGTGTGTGTTTGTGTGTGTTTTACGCATGTCAGAGACGTGGCTACCTTCCCGTGAGGCCTGTGTGTGCGTTGTGCCAATGAGCTTTTGGTATTTGTTTGTAACTTGGAGTAAATCAGACAGTAACTGACAAAGGAAAGAAGCAAAAAAAAAGAAATAAAAATAAATAAAGTTCCACATACTCATCACCAAGAGTACACAGTCACTCATGAACCAAACAAATGGCGCCGACGGTGGAAAAGCCAGCAGGGCCAGGAGTTCCAGGAACCGAGTAGTACTGCAATACTGCAGTACTGCAGTACTACAGAGTTGCCTGATACTTTAGACAGTTCTGTCTCAGTGACCCAGTTTATATCCGGGGTCGACATCAAGCCTCTGAGCCCTATATTTGTCAGTTTTTGTCCCAAATCCACCTCGCTCTGAACTTTTACGCACAATTTACGCACGCGTTACGCACGTATTTTTCCACACGCAGTCGTGGAAAAACAAATGTAGAAGTTCATTCTATGAACCTCGGTGTCCAGATTTACTAGAATATTATAAAAAATATATACATATAAATATATGTGTATATATATGTCTGTGAGCAGACTGGTTTTAAAGTTGACCATATCCTGGACTTTGTGTCAACGTCATCCACAGCGAACACACAGCACGCGAACTGTGTAAATGCGCACACGTCAGTTATCAAAACTACAGACCAGAAACTGACCAGGCAGAAAACAACCCTCCCTGGACACAATGACCTCTAAATGGGCAAATCCGGTTACAATCGACCGGTTCACAACTGTAAACAAAGGGCTGAACTTTTCAACTCACCCAGAGTCGCTGCTCTAAGGCCGGCCGTGAGTCCAAACAGACGGCGGGGACGGCAGAGGCCAAGGTCCTGCTCGGAGCCGAGCCGAGCCGAGCCGAGCCCGGTCTGGTCTGGTCTGGTCTGGACACAGACCCGTGTCGCCTGCTTCCTCTGGGTGTCTGAGTGCTGAGGCATGTTTCTCAGCCACTGTCTGCCGCTTTGAGCCAAACTATGAAGGAGAAGCAGCTTTGACATTTACATGTCAAACGGACGAGGCTTTTTATCTGTAACTTGGACCTTAAAGATCGGGCCTGGCCTCATACTGATACCTCTCACTGGCTCTCCACTGGTCACGTGGGGTCCATAAAGTTAGTTTTATGGTTTTGGGGAGTTGACAATGTACTATATATTTCACATTCTAGAAAGCGAGTGACGGTTTAACGGCTTCGCGGGGATCCTAAAGGGGTCAGTAAAGCAGAGACAGAGCGGGAGCGGCAGCGGGGAGGGAGAGAGAGTGTTCACGTATGTGTGTGTTTGACGGCAGAGGCAGCAGGCCACTTCACCAACAGTCGCTGCTCCTGCTGCAGGTCTGTGCTGCAGGTCTGTGCTGCCGTGGACGCTGGGAAAGTACCGTGGAACCGGGACTAAAAAGAAGGCCCGGCCGCGCAGTAAGTAGTTTTTGAAGAGTGTCTGTAAGTGTGGGGAGGGAGGGGGGGAGAGAGGGACGGGGTGAGTGGGGAAGGCACGGGGGAGGCAGGGCGGTGTGGAGCAGTTAAAGTGCAGTGTCACTCACCCACTGTAGGTGCTT